GTGAGATGAAAGTATAATATACAAATCCGCAATTTTCGGTTAAAACAGTGAGATTGTAGACAAGGCAACGTTATTAACATAGACCACCAAGAAAGGTCAGCGAACAAAGGCTAAGGCTCACATTTTTAGTTGACCCTTGAGGGGTTAGTGCCGATCTAGCGTTGATAAGTTCTTGGATTCTGAAGGAACATTAGCTCACTCTTGAGTGATCCTTAAGCGGAGACTTGACATTTGCATTTCACAGAAGTTTGTAACAGTTGTCATTACAGGTTTCCAAAAGTTAAACATCGTTTTTATAGTTTCCAAAATTTTTGTAATGTTCAAGTATTACAATTGTATTAATCTTTAAAATTTTGTGCTTAAATATTTTCAAAATTCCCACAATTTTCAAAATTTCTAAGTTTTCCAAATTCCAATATCTCCAAGGTTTTCATAATCTTCATACCATTAAAATGTTTTTAAATTTTCAAACTTTTGAAAACTTTGAGAAGCAGAAGAACTAAAAGTTTTGAAACCATGAAGATTTTGAAAAATTTGAAGATGAGGAAATTTTGAACATTTGTATAATGTAGAAAGCTTTAGGTACTTTAAAAGTTTGAGATATTATGAAAGTGTCACATCTAAAAGAAGCGTACGTTTGAACTGAAAAGGGTACCTCTCGTTCATAAGAAAAGCGAAGACACTTAGAGCATATTAGGAGAAACATATTGATATTCTGCCTAAGTAAATACTTTGGCAAATAACCTAACGTCAGGGTCTGACTGTCGATCTGAAATACTAATTGATGGACTTACTGTTAATATCGATTTTTTGGGTAACAGTACGCTGGAATTATTGTGTTGTAAATCTAGAATCAATTCCGTAAGCCTGCTTGTTGCGGTACATTATAGACCTCCTCACTGTTCTATCAATGATTGTATAAACCACATAGACAATCTTGTTTCTTTCTTTATGCCTCAATATGATGACATTATTCTTCTTGGAGACATGAATATTGATATGTTCGATACCACTAATGTACTCAGCAGTTGTCTTGATTTTTATGGTTTCAGGCAGGTCATCGATGAGCCTACTCGTATTTCTCGTTTTAGTTCTACTTTAATTGATGTCATATTTTTAAATAATATTGAAAGGGTTCTCAACTCTGGTACCTTAAATGCAGATCTGATATCTGACCACAAACTAGTATTCTGTGAATTAAATATTAAAACCGTTTCATCAGAGGAAAAATTCATAACCTATGGGATTTTAAGAACATTGATGTAATCAAATTCAAGCAGGATTTGGCTGCAGCTGGCTTAGAAGAAATGCTGTATATTTCCGATATTAACTCCAAAATTCTAATCCTTTATGGGGTGCTTATTGAGCTTTTTAACTTTCATGCTCCTATTCGGACGGCTCGTGTCACCAAAAAAGCTGCTCCATGGTTAACTTTCGCACTTAAGGTCATTCTTAAGGTGAGAGATGAGGCTTTAATTAAATTTCGTCACAATACATCAGATGAAAATTGGACAGCGTATAAACAGTTAAGAAATTATTCACTTGCTTCAATCCGGCGTGAGAAAAAGGCATATTTATCTCGCTTTGATAATCTCAATTCTAGAAAAGCTTGGGATCAGCTGAGAGCAATGAATATTTGTCCCCAGAAACACATTGAAATACCCTATGATATGTTAGACCCTAATGAAGTCAATAACCACTTCATGTTAAATTACCAAAATCTTAATATCAATTCCCGTTTGATTGACAGTACAGTAGAGTTTTATGAGAACAGCTTTAACAGCCAAGATGTAACTCCATTTACATTTAGAATGATGACCGCTGAAGAAATTTTGGACATAGTTACCTCTATCAAGTCACCTGCTACAGGGAGTGATGAAATTAATTTGAACATGCTAGGATACTGCTTACCAGAAATTTTATTGTATTTAACACATATTGTTAATATATGCCTTGAGACCGGGACTTTTCCTGATGCTTGGAAGGAAGCTATTATCATCCCTTTAGCCAAAGTCAAAAATCCAACCACTCATAATCATTTGCGGCCTGTTAGTTTGCTGTGCTTTTGTTCGAAGGTATTAGAGAAAGCAGTGTACATTCAACTAGTGGAATATTTAGAGCAAAATAACTTGTTTTCTCCTCATCACTCAGGATTTCGTGCAGGACATAGCACTACTTCAGCTTTGCTCCATCTAACTGACAACATCGTAGGTAACTTAGACAGACATATTAATACCATATTAGTGATGATTGATTTCTCAAAAGCCTTTGATACAGTTAATCACAAAATCATGCTGAGCAAGCTGAAGTATTGATTCTGATATACCGCTAAGATTTTTCCAAAGCTACTTGGCAGAAAGAAAACAATTAGTTAAGACGGTTAGGGGCGTCTCTTCTAGTACTGTGGTTTCGTCTGGCGTTCCGCAGGGGTCAGTTCTGGGACCCCTGCTATATGTAATTTACACTATAGACTTAGATTCATGTGTTGAATTTTGTTCTATACAAACGTATGCTGATGACACACAATTATCATTTCACTTCACATATGCTCAGTTAAATGAAGTGTCGTTTAAAATTAATACTGACCTAATCAATATTACGGATTTTTGCAAAAAGCACTGTCTCAGGATCAATCCTGAAAAGAGTTCAAGTATGCTTTTTTCTCCGAAACACATGTATAATAACATAAAGGACGCAATTGTACTCATTATAAATAACGAGCGCATCCCCATGGTAGAACATTCTAAAAACCTGGGTGTTATCTTGGACTCTAACTAAGTTTGATAGGCACATCGGTTACCTGTCTCAAAAAACATATGCCAAATTAAAACTTTTATATTCCAACCGTTTCATTTTAAACTTTAAGACTAGGAAAAAATTAATTGAAAGCTTGATCCTGTCATCTTTGCAACATTATCTGATTTTGTTCTATTCTTATTTGGATTCGTCGGATCGGTATAGGTTACAAAAAATTCAAAACGGCTGCTGCAGGTTTGTGTTTGGACTTCGTAAATATAGTCATGTCTCTTCGAAGATTAAACATTTAAATTGGTTAAAGATGGAATCACAGTTTGTTTATGCTATGAAGGTGTTTGTCCATTAAGTAGTTCGCACAAAAAAACCACCGTACATTTTAGAAAAGCTAGTACCAAGTGGTAACATTAATCAGAGAAATCTCAGACACAACCTAAATTTTGCAATGCCAGTCCACTATACAGCCCTTATCCAGAAAAGCTTCACATTTCATGCTGTCAAGTTATACAACTCTACAGATAAAATATGTCGCAGTAAAACAATAGTGCCTTTCAGGAGACTCGTTAAGAAACAGCTGATGGGATATTAATAGTTCAAGTGTGCATTTGTTTCTTTTTCTTATTATTACTATTGTTTGTTTGTGTATCGAGTTTAACTGTGTTACTCTTTCATACACAGTGAGGTTAAGTGTAAGAGTAGCCATTTGGCTAAACTTCGCCTCACTGATGTATGCTGATTAATAAAGACATTTATTATTATTATTATTATTACTCGAAGTAACTGCGAAAAGTTAAGCATGGACATCAATATTGGTATTGGTATCTTTCTGCGATGATTACACGTGATTTTATTTATAATTGCTTAACCCTTCAATCAAAAAATTAAATTTCTCACATTGTTAACAATAGAATTGGAATTGCTCGGAAACGACTGTATTTTAATTAAAAATTTTGCCATCAAAAACTTCATTGAATTCATAGGGACCGTGTACCAACATTAATGTCCATACAGCGGTGTTTGCATAGGCTGTTTCGGATGTTTTCAATATAATGATTATCCGAAATTATTATTGAGCCCAGTAACATTTAATTATAAAACTTTAACTATCCAAAATTTGGTCCCATGCATCACTGCAATTGAAGTTTTGAAGTGTTGCACAATGAGTAGATTGTGACGCTTTGAGTTACAGAGTGCATTGGTTTGAAACTGTATCTACACTAGAGATGCCACGGATATTCGGTTACTATTCGGTATTCGACCCTATTGGACCACCTTTTTCATTATTTGGCCGAGTATTGCAGACTACTCGGCTGAATAACAAATCATGAAAAAATAAGTCACAGATATCACAAAAAAATCAATATTTTTTACCAACAAACAATACAACTAATACTTATGGGTCTGCTGTCCGACGAGTTATTTTTAGATAAAAATCAATCTTAATTACGAAAACGCTTTTCTTTTCCATAACTTCATCTTGCTTCATATTTTTTGTAGCAGCTTCCTCAAAAAAAAAGTTTTGTCATTTTCATTGACAACTCATTCTCGGAGCACCCACAAAATATGCAACTACAGTCTGATACCAAAACGAAAGAGAGTAGCAAAACACATCGTATACCATTGCTTTGAATACGGCGAAATCGGGGCCACCAACTTTGCTGGTACAAAGGCATCAGTAGTGGCGTGCAATGTGTTATGTCTTCTATTTTAGTATCAGAGTATATAGGAAATCTGCGATGACTATTCGGGGGCTGACTATTCAGGGTAAAATTACTATTCGCAGCACTAAAGATCCGTATAGAAGATGAATTTTTTTTCTGCATTATAGATAGTTCCTCGCATAATGGCATAGGAAGTAAATTCCATAAACCGTCAATTGAGCCAATATTAGAACATACCTGTACATACTCGCACTACCAACTACAATACATGATAAAATGTGCATAATTTACTTTTTCAAAAGCCCGAACCATATTATGAAAAAAAACTGAAACAACCGTCGAGCATTGCGGCTTCACGTCAAGCACGCAGAATTATATAATTGCTTTTTCACATGAAACGAGTGCAAAGCTCTCTGATGGACTTACTGAAGCGAAATCTGGTTTCTGCGGTAGCCAAATACCGATACGAACAATCGTATCGATAAATATTGTGGTCAAACATAGCTGCATTATTTGTTTGTTAGATATGCAGAAGAATTCGTTGAGTATCAGGAAGTAGAAAATTGATCTATTTGGTTAACATACCTAGTTTCAGATTGATCAGTCTTCTTAAGCCCTTCATTAAGTGCCGGAAAAAAATCATTTTTCACAATCTACAGAAAAAGTACGTGTTATTGATCGCAATCTCGTAATAAGTAAATATGGCGTCAAGAGGGTAGGACTCTGCACCTTCTACGCTACGATGTAATCAATTCATAAAGGATAATGCTCGGCACAAGTTATGGTCTCTAACAAAAAAGTAACATGTGTAAAAATTAACTGATCATATCAGTCGAACAGGCTCATACAATCGGTCCCTAGTCCCCACCCATTTGACAACGTTGCGATCTAAAATTTTCTTCTCTGCCCTACGACAGTACCGACCATCTGCAGGTAGGTTGACCCACTGAGAAAAAAAGTAAGTTACCTACGAATATGTATACAGGGAAATTGAACGGATCAAGCTCGACAAACATATCCATACAATTAATCCATAACATTATTTCATTGCCCTAATCGTAGCACGGTCCATCTTGCAACATCGCGTAGCCTCTCCCCAATATTTGAAAGCACGCAGCCTCTTACCCGTCAGAGTGCGAGTCATGTGAGGTCACTTATGAATATGTGTGGAATATTTTTAATATGTACATAGAATTACCGGTGTTTGAAGTGTATTAAATTGCGATATACCCTCACCCATCGCCTAAAACCTCATACCCTCCAATGTTTTAACTCCTTGGCGACTCTGTATGTATGACACCTGTGACAATACTTCCGTGCTGACGGAATGCTAAATATCATCATAATATAATGACGTATATGCATGGATTCTTATATTTACTACTATGTTATAGGTTGTAGCAAATCGTATGTGCTATTTAAGTGAAAATTACTTGCACCACTTGTGAAACCCTTAATCTTGATCCTACGTATTTCTCGAGCGACAAAGTAGTATTTTGCGCTCTTAATACAAAAGAGCAATTCCTGTGTTCCTGCAGATAAGACAACTCGGAAATATATCTCTGATTGCACTAAATTGTAATTTTCTAAGGAATTACATGATTTATACATATATAATCGTTAACGTTATGCTCATTAAAAGAGTCAAAACGTTTTAAAGACCAGTTCCAAATCGTTTTTAATTAAAAGAACGCCTTAATTCAAAAACTGAATGTTACTTAATTATTTTTTAATACGGTTTTTCTGCTTCATTACGAAAGAACATTAACGACTTTTGTTTGTCGGCGGATTTTTCAGGATTATTACTTATTTTAATGTTTGATACATGAGTGTCGTTTTTGGTGTTTATTTGCATCACCGGTAAGAAAATTTTATATAGATATTCCAATCTGCGGTTTTTGCCGCAGTTTCTACTCCTCTGTTGTTGTTCTGCAAAGCAAAATTTTCTTAAATGGAAGGGAGAAGGATCGATGATTTTCATTATTCCTTGTAATTATTACTGTATTTGAAGTGATCTCGTTTGATAACGTAAGAATAGAATCATGCAGATCTAATTCGCAAATTCCACATTATATTGATAATTATAATATGTATATTCCTTCCTTATTCCGTATATACAGGGTGTGGCTTAAAGAGTTGATAACCTTTGATTCACAGCAGGAAATACGATATATTGTTTCATTTTGCAGTCTCAATGAATTAAGCAAATTATTCACATCTTGTTTTACTAGGTTACCTCCATATTATTAACACCACACGAGGTAAAACTTAAGAGAAAAAAATCTTCTTTTTTCCGAGTTTTAATGATTTTTAAAAAAGCGATTAAACCTATAGCACGAAAACGGCAATTTATATTTTATGACACATGTATCCAAGAATACTATGTAATGAAAAAATAATGAGAAAAATCCTTCATCTGTTATCACCAGACTTAAGGCAGTGAGTGAAGGTGTACGTTTCCTCCAAATTTGGAAAAAGGCACAAAAATTTAAAACCGTGCAACTTTTAATAGACACAATTTTCAATTTGTTGACTCTTTATGATGTCCTCTAACTGCAAGTTAATGGTTATCCACTCTTTACGCCACACCCTGTATATTAAGGATGGATCACATTGGTACGCATTTGAAAGAAAAGCTTGCATAGATCTTGGAAAATCCTCTAAAATCCCTGATTTTTTTTAACATAAAACATGTTTTGCTTAGAATTGACTCGTATAAGCGAACTTTTTCATACATACATATGCAGATATGTTTATCATCAACGATGCAGATATTACTTTTTTATGTTGAACATGTTATATATTATGCTTGAAAGTGCTCCAGTTTTTATGATGAGATATAGAACATCGAAAAATATAATCAGTTCCTTGATGGAAAAGGGATTCAGTTGTTAAAAAATTGGGATATCATTTTTGGGTCCCATACATTTATTTTACTATACTCGTGAATCACTAACCGCTTTACTGAGGAATGGTTCTGCTTAGTTAACATGTAAATGCCAAATCACTTTGAACCTGGATTACCCGAATTTTATATACCATAAACGTAGAACAAATCAATACCGGATAGATAATCTTTAAATGTCAACACCAAAAGTCGGTATTCAGCAACTGCAAAGTTTAACAACTGATCTAATCAAACTAAGTAGTGTCATTCAAAATCTACGCATAAAGAGTGCTTCAGTACAAATGAGCATGAATATTGAGAAATTTATTTTTATGCGTATCACTGTTAAAAAAATGTATTTTTTTGTTTCTCAAATAATTTTTAATATAGAATTACTACTAATCAAGTAGTGGTAAGTGGTTTTAAAATTATGGATTAAAGTAGATCATCCTTACTGTTAATCCTGAATTGCACATGCAGGAAAAATGTATACCGGATAGTTAATTTTAAATGTCAACTGCTAAAGACGCAACTGCAAAAATTGACAACTCACCTAATCACGCTTCAAAATTGGTACTATCAATAATAATATGATCGATGTCTTGTTAAAACCCGAAAAAATCAGTACGTTTAGAAATCGCCCGATATATAGAGACCGGCGGTGTAGTTCGTATCAAGCTTTCAGCACGCACTGTCTGTCGCTGAAAAGCATCGCAGCCAGCGAGGACTTTCTAATGGCAGCAGGACCGCGCCTCCTGCAAGTCACGCCGCTCCTGCTACGGCGCAGCCACAGGCTCTGATGCTGCACGTTGCTGTTGCTGCTGCAGGACCATCCGACAGCAGCAAAAACAGGACGAGACACGATGTACGGCTGACTGCAGACTGCAGCCTTATAGCAAGGGAAGAAATAATGTAATTTTTCCGAAAGCTCTAGCTTTGAGGAGTTTTCGAATAAAAATTAAAAACTCTTGTCAATAGAATCTTACATCATCTATAAACACTAGGATAAACTGGTCCAGAAGCAGAACCCTGGGGAATACTATCTCTTAGATGCGATAACCCTACTGATATTATAAACGAGGAAGTGTGGATGTTTGATACCCAATAGCTGAATGGATATAGATGGTACAGTGATTGATCATAGTAGTCTAACCATTAGACGAAAATACCCCTGGCTTGCGAAATAGTTGTAAAGTCTGGTTTTATTGATGCAAGGTGTTCAAGGGGGTATTTAAGTCATGGACGCATAAAATGGGTACTACAATTTTTCTGAGAAATTTTCTTATTCCACAACAAGGAATGAGAAAACGTGTTTTTTGGGGATTCAATCGAAAGTGTTCGCAGGAACGGAAAAACTCTTCAAATGAGATCTTTAGGTATTTATAAGGCTCACAGAATGAGACCACACGTAAAAAGATCCGACGAATAGTAAAAATCTTATGGCCGAAAACCGAGGCAAGATGCAGGTTTTAGCACTTGTTGGTAATGCGACGATAGTTTCACGCCCCCTCGTTTTTCGCTTAAAAGTACCAATTATCTTTCGGAATGGTTTGAGATTCATGTCGGCAAGGTAAACTCGTGTATTTCGCTATAAAGTGCCCTTAGAATGAACCGTGTATATTGCTCAGTAAACTAGAAGTGATGGCCGGAAGACAGGTGTTTTGAGATAAGCAATTAGAAATTCTCAAAAACTACTTGACCAATCTAGAGATCGTCACAAGCTGCAGACCAAATCAAGGAATTAAGAGTTATTTTTGACTCAACATTAATATTTAACTTACATATTGAAAAAACAATCACCTGTGTATTTAAGATGTTAGGTTTTATGAATAGTTATGACTAGGCTTACCATACGTTCGGGTTTGACCTGGATGGTCCCGGTTTGAGATCCCTGTCCCGGCGTCTCGGCAGGTCTGCATTAGCATCTCGGTCAAACTTGAACAACACCGACACTCTGGCCGATCGTTCCCCCAGGCACAGGACAAAAAATTAGTGAAACATAGAAATACAAGATTTCTGTCTTTATTACCAGCTGTAGAAAGGATCCTGCAGCTATACGAAATCTTATTTTCTTGCTCAAGTAAATTGCCCGCTCGCATTGCGATAGTTCTTCACAACAGAAATTGGAACACTTTACTTTTGACTTGTGCTCGGATAGTTAAATCTATTCAACAAGACCATTGAGTCTATGGAGAAGACTAACTCAACTGCAACAGATGTAGGTATGGATTTGACAAAGTTAAAAGCTAATATTCAAAACAGGATAGAAATCAAATTTCATTCCACAAACAGCTATACAACTCTTAAATAAATTGAAAGATTCCATAAATGTCGGAAACTTCATGAGTGACGTTCACGCTTTTTATGAGCGCTGCATTTCGTATTTAAATTGTGGGAAAAGAGCTTCTACAGAGCTGAAGATTTTGTGTCGGTCTGCTTGAAAAATGAGCTCAACTGAAGTGACATCGAAAAAGCAACAGAAAATATAAATAAAATGCAAAAACCTCAATCGAAAACCCAAATAATGATTGATGAGCTATTGGACGAGGTGTTATTGGCAAAAGCCTTCTTCCAAAATTCTAATGAAGCCAGTTACTCCGAGAAATGGGTCCCATTTTCACAAGCAGCATATTTAGGTGCTAAATTTAAAAAAATGTGGAGTTTGCTGTGTGTCTACCCAGTACCTCAGCACCAGTGGGAGAATGCGTTGTGGAAGCTTTGCCTACGTGCAAACTTATCTTGAACATGTCATGCAGTGAATTTTATAACAAAAATAAGCACAATAAAAAGATTCTGAAGAAAGTGCACTCTAGTAAAAAATGTAAAGCAAGCCTGGAGAATAATAAAACTGGGCAAATGTTTTGCGTTGTTTGTATTAATTATTGAACTTTATCTCTTTTTCTTTTTAATACAAAATATACTTCACATCTATTAATGTTTTCAGTTCTTAATAATTTTGATTGCACTTCAAATATGAAAAACACAAATTAAGCGAAAAGCAAAACGAAAATGAGCCTCTTCCGCGTCCTGGTTTGGCTCTTCGTTATTATGGTAAGAATAGTTGTAACGCACATGGTACGGAGACTCGATCTGTTTACTTATTTCATATGGCGTTGATGACGTAACCGCCAAGAACGGTGACAGCAACTATATAAATTTACTATCTTTTAATATGTCGGAGTGGCGGGGTGTCGAAGATGAAGGTTGTATATTAAATCGTTTATAACTTACAAATAGTCATCAACGTTCTCCTTATATCAGTGAAATAAGGAAAAACTGTCTAAGGTAGTTTTGACAGGTATTAATAATAAATTATTTATTGTTGAAAACTTTGTCACCCTGTATCTCAAAAGTTAAGACGTTTAGGACATACGTTCATTTGAGGTTTTCTTCTAAAATGGACCTAAAAATCGCCTAATCAAATATTGGCATTCAATTAGGAAACACCCTGTACATACAACCACTCACCGTGGTTTTACAGCGAGGTTGATCCTGTTCTTCTTCACGTACCACTCATATTGGGTATCAAAAACCATCTTGGTAACCATAACTTTATTAGCTGCACGTCTAGATAGCTCAACCAAACCGCACCCAAACCATTGACGCAGGTTACGCAGCCATGGAATTTTTCTTCTTAGACGCTTCTTCTGAATTTGAGTTTGCCCTACGTTATGTTCTCTGAAGGCTTGTCCCTTTCTCCCCTCGTGGTGTGTCCTAAATATACTAAGTGACATATAAATCCGAACACCCAGTTTAAATGGTTTTATTTTAATAAAATTTTGTATAAGTACTTAATGAAGCATAATAAGTAAATGATAAAAATTTCAAAATGATTGCACTGCTTTAAAGCCCTATGACCTTTAATAATGTGTGGATGCACCCTGATATGCTACGCATTCTCCAACGCGCCTAGGCATGCTTCTGATCAGGTGGTCAATGTCCTCCTGTGGCATCTCATTCCAGGCAACCACCAACTCCTCTCAAAGTGCTTCTAGAGTCTGAGGAGTACGTTGCAAATTGAGCAATCTCCTACCCATCATATCCCACACGTGCTCAATTGGGGATAAGTCGAAGATCTTGGTGGCCATGGTAACAATGTGACATCATTATGTTGAAAGAAGTCTATTGTGACTCTTGCATTATGTGGTCGGGCATTATCTTGTTGGAAAGTTGGATCTGTCAGGGTGTCAAGATAGGGTAAAAGATGGGGTTCTAGAACTTCGTGGATAAACGCTGCGCGTTCATGTTACCTCTGATGAAGATTAAAGGTGACCTGGAACCATAAGCTATAGCACCCCAAACCATAACTCCAACAGTGTGATGAATATCTTTCAACAAAAAACTGTGGATTCCTCCTTTCACCACGTCGCCTTCTAACCCTGGCACGACCATCGTGCATGCCTAAACAAAATCGAGACTCGTCACTAAAGACAATACTGTTCCATTCCTGATCCCAGAGTGACCGTTGTCTGCACCACTCAAGGCGATTACGTCGGTGTTCTCGAGTTAAAGGGAGAACCCAGTGTGGCCGGTATGAAAACAAGCTAAAACATTCTCATTAGTCGGTAAACACTTCGCATGCCAATAGGTCTTCCGTGTTCTGCAAACCATTCATTTGCAATGGACCTGGTAGTGGAGAAACGGTCCCTTAAGGCCAATAATCTTAGGCGGCGATCTTCACGGTCTGGTGTTCTACGGCGGCGTCCAGTGCCCCTTGCTCTTTGCGTACGGCCTTCTCGAAGCCATGCCTGACAACACCTAACCACATTGTCTACACTTCTTTGCACTCTAACTGCAATTGCCCGAAAAGAAAGTCCAGCTTCCCGAAGTCCCACTATACGGCCCCTATCAAACTCACTAAGTTGACGAAATCGTACAGGTCTCCGTACTCTAGGCATCGTACCCGATCGTAAAGGATGTCAAGAACCAAAATCCGCCAACGTTGATTCTTTACTGCGGCTGAAATATTCATTTTTAGAGCATTAGTGAATTAAAAAAAAGCAGTATAAAAACCGGAATGTCCAACTGATAAGGCTGAAAATTTGTTCACTTGTTATTTACAGTAAGATAAATACATTCACCAACTTTTATTAAAATAAAACCATTTAAACTGGATGTTCGGATTTATATGTCACTTAGTATATTCCAATTTTTCTCATTTTTATTTCATTGATAAAGTTGGAGTTTTTGTCTTAACTGTTACAGGACTTGCCATTTTGTTATACGGTCCATCCATGGTATTTTCAGAATGCGTCGGCAGCACCACATCTCAAATTCAAAAGCGAGGGTATTAGCGACACATTTTTATATAAAATGAAAGAAATCCTCCCTTTTGGATGATGAAAATTGATTACTCAAGACATGGAAGGACTGTTGTCGCTGCACTCACTTTTGATAAATGATATCCTCAGTTACCCCAACTTTGGAGGTTGTCTCTCTAGACAAATTATACTTGAAATATAATATCCTACAACAGTCTGAAGAAATGAAGTGGTGACTGGGCAAGTTGGAATGAATTTTCATATGATTTACTCCACCTTACCGTCGTCCTTTTTACTTCCCACGCCTACTGGCAAGGAAACATTGTACTCTCGAAATCCTTGGCTCGTCTATAACTTGGAAAGTACTACTCGGATTTTGAAAAAACTTTCACAAAAGGTTACTACTAGCCCAAGGACGAAAAATCATTGTAGATTTTGAAAATCGGTTCAGTGGCGGCGGTGTTACCGCCTAAAAACGAAAAAAATAGAAATCGCTCAAACTGTTTGGGCGTTTACGGGGCTCCTGATCATTTTCAGAAATTTTTTGTAGATCTTTAAAATTGGGGGTTGGGGCTAGGTCACATTTGCCGTATGCTACGAACTTACCCCGG